TAACGACAGATGTAGAGTTATGGACGACGCTTCTTGCTTGAATGCTGCTAGATATTCTGCTCTCTCTTAACATTTGACCTCTGTGGGAAGTCTGAGAATTTCATGCCCATTCTAGAGGGTAGAGTAAGCAGTAGGGTGGTGGGACTGGGGTCTTCAGGCTAGCTCAGTCACTCAGGCGTGGCAGGGTTTGAGGAAGTCACACGGCCACTCTGGCCTTGTGTGACCCGGATCTCTGAGGTGAGGACGGCAGAACTTATTAGTCTACACAGAATGGCTGTGAGGGCAAAGTCACATGGGACTTGTTCCCATATTTTGAGAATATGTAAAAGGTTACACAGAGAGGATGTTTCTATGGCTGGCGTTAGCAGACGTGGTGACATGTTTTCCAACCAGAAACATGCCGGGGAAGAGGGGCTAACACTGAGTGCCCACCGTGTGAGAACTCCTTTACATTTCCTCATCTTTTTTCATCTGTAGAAGAAGGTCAGAGTAGTTATGGAAACACTCTACTTTACAGAGGAAGGAACTGAGGCACACACAAGATCATACAGCCAGTAAATGTGTGAATCCAGGGAACAGGATTCTAGAACTTGTGCCCTTAATGTCTTCTGTAATGGGTGAGAACATCTGGATTGTCATTCATAAAACAGAATGAGACCATCACTCAAGGTAGAGTAAGCGCATATGAGAGTCTCAGGGATCTTTACTCTCAATACCTCCTTCTGGCCCATGGCCCCAGCTTTTTCCCCACAAATCACAGTCTGCGTGAGGCTAAGGAGCTTCTCGGAGGATCCCACCCTACCAAGAACTGAGAGAATCAAGTACATTCCCCGTGTGCCCCCAATCCATCTGTGACTCATCACGCATTCCTCACCAGTAAGGTGAGGGCTGCCTGAGGCATGAACATCTGGGCCCCAAGACCTCAGACCCATTTTTCTGCTCCTCAGTTTTCTTCCGGGGAAATAGGAATGTTCGGAAATATATAGACTCTGGAGTCAGATGGACCTAATTTTGGATCCTGACTCAGCTGTTTGCCTTCATATCCTTGGGAAGTCCGTAAAGAGTTAGCCTCTGAGTCTTAGCTTTCTCACTGTAAAAAGGAGATAATCTTGAAGTCTTCCAGAATTGCCATGACGGCTAAATTGGGTAGTGTTTGCAAAATGCTTAGCTCGGTGCCTGGAACATGGTAACCCCCAGCTTCACATCATAACTGTCACCTGTCCACATGCTACACATACAGATTCATGTGAGACTGTGTATTCATAATTAGGCTACTGTAATTATTAACATAGTTAACCCTCACACAAGGTGATTTATCCCCATTTTACAGATGGAGAAGCAGAGTTAAGCAATTTACTCACCCAGTTATTAGTGGTTTATCTCTTGGGAGTTTAAGCCAGGCAGTTTATCTCTAGGACCCAGGCAGTTTATCTCTAGGACCTACACCCTTGAATGCCCCAAAGCACTTGACAAATGGTTAGCTCTGGAACAGTGATTCTCAACTGGGGCTGACTTTGCTCCCTGCTTCCCCATAGGTCATTTGATGGTGTCTGGAAATATTTTGGATGTTACAGGAAGGGACGCTATTGGCACTTAGTGGTAGAAGCCAGGGATGCTGCTCACCATCCTCCAGTGCACAGGACGGCCCCCCACAACTATTAGGCCCAGCACGTCCACAGTATCCAGGCCGAGAAACCCCGCTATTGAGTGGGACAGGACCACGCACCCCAAGGGAACTTCATGGCTGCAGGTATTTAAAGGAGCTTGTAAGAAGGCAAGTGCAAGGCTTGGTGCCTGCAGAAGCTATTCCTGGGCCACTGGGGATGTGTCCAATATCTGGCGAAGGGTTTGAGCCCAGAGAGCCGGATCCCAGCTCGGCTATGAGCTCTGCTGACTGACCGGGCTGTCTCTGAGCCCCTCAGAGCCCCCAGACTCCTTAGAGGCACAAAGCAGGCAAGAATTCCTGCCTTCCAGGACTGTGAGGCTCAACAAGGCAACAAGAGTGTCTGGCACACAGCAAGTGCTTAGTGAGCTGGCAGAACTGTGATTACACGGAGGGGCTTCCCAGCGGCTGGAGCCAGAGCAGGGCATGGATTGCTGGGTCAGCACCAACACACGTGAGCTGGAGGCTGCCTGCTCCCTGAAGAGCACAGGAATGAGCAAAATCAGATGCCTGGTGACACTGTCTCTAGCCAGTTTCCCTCCCTGTAAAGCAGACTTGTCTGCAGGGGACGGTGGAAAGCATTCACTCTCCACATCAGGCTGTTTTTGGAGTTGTGTGGTGTGGATGGATTTTGGTTGGCTTTATTTGTTGCGCAAGGTTTTATCTGCCCAGCCCCAGCCCCAAACTTTCAGAAGTAGGGAGATAGATGCCATACCTACAGATTTATAACATCCTTGATTCCTGTCATGTCAACAGGAAAATTAGGTAGATAATGCTGGAGGAGTTTTTTCTGTGGGTTAAGAGTAGTTTTTCTCCGTTAGGCCAAAATATAAAACTGGTGTCTGTCTGTCTCTTTTTCACATACACACATCCCTCCCTCCTTATTTTTGCTCTGTCTGGAGACCCACACAAATTTCATGCTTTCTCTTATTATTTGAAACATGAACATTACCCACCAGCCTCTAGGACTTTCCATGAGGCAAAGCCAAATTATCTGAGTCGTGATCTCTATTTCTTCCCTCAGCAGGAAATCCAAATGTGATTGGTAGATTTTTTAAGAGTACATTTCTAAAGTCACAGGCACCTAAGTCTTTTTAGAGAGATGTTATATTTTTAATCAAGTAAACATTTTAATTACCAACATGCCTCCCACCTCCTACCCTCCCACTAACCCTGCTTGTGATTTTTCTCATGGGTCTCCTGTGAAATGGAACAGCAGCCCTTGATTATAAGGGCTGAAAACTCTTGGTAGACATTCCCAAGGGTAAGTATGTTAATTTTTTTTCTGAGCCACAATAGCTTTCTGCATTGTTTCTGGGTTTAACAAAACCAGATTTCAGAGCAGGTCTGCTTTGCCTTATATTTGGAAGTCTGTAGGAAGAGAGATCTAGCTAGGAATGAAGAAATCTATCCCCTCCCTCCATCCTCTTCCTATTCTTCTACTTAGCCTAGAGTTCTGGTGGCCACTGGGGCTTCTCCCGGGTTTTACTGGCAAATGCAATTGAGCCCCTTAAATAACGTATGCCCACATAAAGGGAAAAATACTGGACTAGGAGAAACATCAGACCTGAATTTTGTCCTTGTTTTGCAACCAACTAACTATGAAACCTTAAGTGTGCTATGTGACTTTCTGGCCTTAGTTTCTCCTTCTGTGAGATGAGTGTGCAGGGATTGCTGGGGGGTTATATTAAATCCCAAATGCCTCTAGGGATTAGGCTAATGGGAAAAATGAATGAAGTGGGTTGGGCAGGGCCGGTCCCCTCTAATGGGGAGACTTTGTCTCCAGCCAATTCCATTTCCAATGCTAGGTGAAAATGTGGGCCCAGGGATATCAGATCATGCCTTTTTTTTTTTTTCAAGAGAAGCCTAAAACCCAGAAGTTGAAGATTCTAAGTGAAATATCTTGATTTTTCAGAAGTTGGTAATGACTATTTGGTGGAGGCACCAGGTCAATGGGCCAAATATGGCCCCAGGGCTAAAACATTATTGCCTCTGGACAGAACTTTCTCTATGATCTTGACCCAAACAGCTTCCTTCCGTAAGTATTCAAATATATCACACACACAAAAAATCATATTTGACCCTAAATAGCCAAAGCAATCCTGATAAAGAAGAACAAAGCTTCCTAATTCCAAACTATATTATAGAACTATAGTGATCAAAATAGTATGGTACTGGCAAAAAAAAGCAGACTCAGAGATCAATAGAACACATTAGAGACCAGAAATAAACCTACATATACATAGTCAATCAATTTTTGACAAAGGAGCCATGAATACACAAATGCAGAAAGGTCAGTCTTTTCAATATACGGTGCTGTGAAAATTGGACAGGCACGTGTAAAAGAATGAAACTGGACCCCTGTCTTACACCACATACAAAAATTAACTCAAAATGCATTGAAGACTTGAATGTAAGCCCTGAAACTATACAATTCCTAGAAGAAAAATAGGAGGTAGGTTCCTTGGCATTGGTCTTGGCAATGATTTTTCGTCTTCGACACCAAAAGGCAACAATAGCAAAAGTAAACAAGTGGGACTACATTGAAATAAAAAGCTTCTGTGCAGCGAAGGGCAAGATCAGCAAAATTAAAAGTCACCGATGGGATGGGAGAAAATATCTGCAAACCACATGTCTGTTAAGGGGTTAAAAAACATATAAGGAACTCATACAACTCAATAGAAAAAAAAAAAAATCCCAAATAACCCAATCAAAAAATGGACAAAGAACCTGAAAACACAGTTTTCTAAGGATGATATACAAATGGTCAACAGGTACATGGAAAGGTTCTAGACATGACTCATCATCAGAGAAAAATCAAAACCACAATGAGATATCCCCCCACACCTGTTAGAATGGTTATTATATTAAAATTTAACTTTAAAATGAACTTTATTAAAAGCTTACCATGCAATCCTGACTTTTTTTTCCTTTTCAACAGATCCTTGTAAACTTTGCCAGAATGCAGGAACCACTGTATTCCTCCATCTAATGGTTTACAATCATATGCTTCTTAACAGAGGACTTAGTATAATATGAGCACACAATATTTATTAGTAGTATATCAGGATAGCTTTCAAATAAAGAATTTTTTTTTGCCTTTCAATCAGAAACCCTGTAGGAGATCTCCAAAGACTTTGATTTTAATGAATAAATGTGCCTTGCCCTATATCCTCTGCCCTTGGGGCTTGTGGCTGGAAATCAGGTAGGGTTTCAATATGGATTCTCACTTAAAAGGCAAACCATCACATTAGAATCTGACTACGTGAGAAGGTCATGCTAGCACCACCTTTGTGGGGTGCATGCACACCGGAGGGAAGGAGGCAGTGAACGTTACCTTTGGAATGCACATTGTGGGCTCGGACAAGCGAGGGTAGGTGTAGGAGTTGTACGAGTGTCCTTGGGGGTGGGTTTTAAATGCACTGGCTCCGAAGGGCATCATCGGTTCCTGGAGCCCCGAGCCTGACCTGGACCTCTGCCGCATGGTAGGCTGAGGGCTGGTCTGATTCAGGTAGGATGACTTTGGCCTCCTATCATAGTCATCCAGGCTGGGTCCCCACTCGCTTTCGCTGAACACCAGACTCTCCTTGGAGCACCCACTGGTGCCTGCAGTTCGAGAAGGCGTGAACTGGAATGGATAATCTAGAGGGGAACTGCTTGAGGCTCTCTGGTACTCCCACTTGAGGTCGCTGTATTCACTTGGTTTACTTAGTGAGTCCAAGTGTGCATGATAATCAAGGGGAAATCTGGCGAGATCGGACTTCCAAGGCTTCATCTCAGGATAGTGGGCCTCCCCGTGTTTGGTCTTTGTGACGTGCCCATTTTGCTTGGCCACATGGCTGCTCTTATAAAATGGATCCAGGTCGTCGCCATAGAGACTTTTCTCTCGATACTTCTCAGTCGGGTAGTCAGCAGTGGTATCGGATTCGCTGGAATACTGTGAGAAGGTGATGAAGCCATTTTCTTCCCGATGGCCTTGACCGTGGCTGGAGGCTCCCTGGTCTGGGGTGGGCGGGCTTTCCTTCCTTAGGGAGTTGGAGCGAGTCACGGAAATGTTGTCAAAGTCCTCCAGCAGGCCGTTGATGGAGGTTTCCTTGCACGGTTTATTTCCTCTAACGATTGTCTGGGAACAGTAAAGGGAATGCCATTTAAAGAAAACATTTCATGCTTTCAAATTGATGTTGGAATCCCGCCCCTACTCCATCTAATTTAAACCACAGAGGAAAAAAGACCCCAGGAACGTCCCCTAAAAAAGTGATAATAAAAAAACTGTTGACTGATTTCAGTCATGAAATAAGTCAAATATTCTTAAATTGCAAATAATCTTAAATTGCAAATTTTCTTTTACCTATCTCAATAGAGAGATTAAATATCAGAAAGCCATTTAGAAGACTGTATAAGTAATCATCTTATTTACCAGTTTAGGGGAAACCTCCTCCCCACCCCTTCCCAAACCCTAACCACCTAACAATAAGATGATTATAATTTTAAGTCTATAACTCATTAGAAAAAGCATATTATTTTTTACATCCATTATTCAGATTATTTGCAAAACCAGCAAACACCGTCACTTGAGGATTAACATACCCAGAAATGGGCACACATTTTTTCTTTTTTTACCCTTTTATGGAAGACATATGAAAACTGAGGTTACCAGATTTTATGGAAGAGGAAGGCACTTTCTGAACTGTAAGTAAGGAACAGCATGAAGATTACTTGTGAGATTTTATTTGTGATCATATGTGATCTTCTCATTAAGCATCTAACGGTAATACTTGCTAGAGCCACACTTCCGTATCATCATCGCTAACGTCTGATGGCTTAGCAATTGATGTAGTCGTACTTGAAATCTTAGTGACAAACTGCCAAGCCCAAATGTTACCTTTAATGAACCTAAATAACACTGGAATACCAGGAACAGAAAGAAATCACAAACCACTTACAAAGCCAGTCAGCTGTGCCTTGACAATGACAAGGTTTGCTGCAAAATATGATGGGGGGTGGGGATCAAAGTGTTGTGACTCCAGACTTCCAGGATTTTAAGAGAAAAATACCTTTGAGCAAGTAGCAAAGGAGTTCAAAATCATCTCAGTAGAACAGAGGCTTTCAAACTAGAGGACAAAGTCAAAGCGGTCCTAGAGCACACGCTTTATAGATCAGTGCTTCCCAAAGTCCCCCCAGGATGAAAGACAAGGTTTTGTTTTTTTCCATCCAATCAGTCCAGGATGAAGACTTTTGGTCTGTACCCTTTTCTTTTAAATAAACTTTCAATTCCGGAATGGTTTTAAATGAACAGAGAGGTTGCAAAGAGAACATACAGAGCTCTCATATATCCCTTACTGTACTGTTAACATCTTACACTGCTATTAACTAAACTCCACAGTTTATATGAATTTCATTAGCTTTTTCCCTAGTGTTCCAGGGTCCCATCCAGGATATCTTGTACTTATTTGTCATGTCTCCTTAGTCTCCTCTGGTCTGTGATAGTTTCTCAGACTTTCCTTGTTTTTGAATGACCTTGCCAGTTTTAAGGAATAGTGGTCAGGGCTCTGCAGAATACCCTCAACTACGAAATTCTCATGTTTTTCTCATGGTTAAACTGAGGTTATTGGTTTGGAAGGGGAGATCACAGAGTAAGGTACCAATTTTATCACATCATATCCAGCGTGCCTGTCATCAACATGGCTTATCACTGCTGATGTTGGCCTTGGTCACCTGGCCCAGGGAGTGCTCACCAGGTTTCCACACTATAAAGTTACATTCTCCTTCCTTCCCTGCTTTCCAAACTATACCCTTGGAAGTAAATCAGTCTCCCTCCCTGAGAAGGGGTATCTATATAACGTATGCGGAATTCTGCACAGGAGACTTGCATCCTATTTATTTATTCAATCATTTAGTTGTGTCAGTATGGATAGAATCATGGATATTTGTTTTATACTTTGGATTATAATCCTAAAATATACTTTTGTTTTGTTTTGTTGCTCTAACTGTTCTAGCTTTAGTTACTGAGAGCTCTTTCAGATGGGCTGCTCGGTCCCTTTCATAAGCCCCCATCCTCTTATTTTTTGAGCCCTTCCTCACTTTTTTGGCGCTACAAGATGCTCCGGGTTCATCTTGTCAGTTCCCTGAGCTTGCCCTAAAATCAACCACTTCTCCAAGGGGCCTGGTTCCTTGAACTGGATAATGATATTAGAAACTAATATCTGGATGCTGGGTGTGCTCTCTGCTACTGGGGTGACCCTGTTTCCAGGCCCTCTCAGTGAACAGAGCCAGGCAATACATGGATACACACACTTCCCCCGGTATGCACACCCATCTCTAAATATATCTGTCCATCTGTAACTGTATTAAGCTAAACATGAATTCATACTGTTGTCTCTGAATCTCATCTAGGGTACCACATAGTTCATTCTAGCTTTCCCTCATATTTGTTGGTGAAAACCCTGGATCTTCATCTGCCATTCTTTTGGTTATTCTATCCCAGTATACTGATATAGCAGTTTCAGAATCATTACCCCACACCACAATGGGAAACACCGTTGCCAGCTAGAGTACAGTGTTTAGTATGGTTTTTTTGGACGTTGGGCTTAAAGTTTCCATTCAAAGAAAGCCCTGTTCTCCAAAGTTACTTAGGTTAACACCCCCTTCAATGACATTATATCAAACAAATGTAACAGTTACATTCTTCTGCCACAGTTTGTATTCCATCCTGGGATCCTCTTGATCTCCTGATTGGCTGAAAAAATTACTCTTTGTGCTGGAAAGTTCTATGGGTATTGACAAATGCGAAGCATCATGTATTCACCATTACAGGGTCAAAATCTCCTTCCCCTTCAAAATCTCCTGAACTTTCCCCCAGTCAGACACCACCTCCTCCCCAAACCTTTGGTATACTGCTGATCTGTTTTTCATCCTTGTAGTTCTGCCTTTCCTGAATATCATATGAAGGGAATCAAACAGTCTGGAGCCTTTTGGTCTGGCTTCTTTCATTTATTATAATGCATTTAAGGTTAATCCAGGTGGTTCTGTGAATTAATAGCCAATTTTCCCCCTATTCTTCCCCCCCCCCATTCTTCTTTAAAAATCACTGAACGGTATTCCATCATATGGAGTGTTAGGATTGCTTGTGGAGGAGGGGTCTAAATGGATTGATTGTCCAACTAGGTGATGTTCTGTGTGAGCATCCCCCAGAGAGAAAAAGAACCACCTGTCATATATACATCTGGACCTCTTCTCAGAGCAAGAACATCTACACCCACCCCAACAGATGAACTTGGAAGAAGCAATACCTTGAACAGGGAAAGGTAAGCACAGGGAAGAGAAAAGGAGGAAATGGACATCTTCTGATGCATTAAGTACGAATGCTAGTAACTCATCCTCAAAACTCTCAAGTCTATCTGAGCAGCTTCCAACTGCATTTCAGTTGTATCTTACCTGTTTATCATTTCTCTTTCTATTTGCTCAGGGTGTTCTTCAAACTCTCTTAGACATAGGTACTGTTACTTTCTGTGGATTTAACAACTGGCCTCCTCTCTTCTTCAATAATGCTTTGTGTAAATTTTTTAAAAAGATTTATTTATTCATTTGAGAGAGAGTGAGCGAGTGCATGAGCGAGGTTAGGGGCAAAGGGAGAGGGAGAGAGAGAATCCTAAGTAGAGTTCCCGCTGAGCAAGGAGTCCAATGCAGGGCTCGATCCCATGATCTGACATCATGATCTCAGCCAAAATCAAGAGTCAAATGCTCACCTGACTGAGCCAGCCAGGCGCCCCATGTTTTGTACAAATTTTTAAGAAAATAGTATTAATCTGTTTATATCACAGTGGACCAACTAAAAGTCTTTTTAGCCACCATTCTGGACAGAAATTATACTCTTGCACATTCCTATTCTCTCTCTTTATCAATAACTGGCAGATTACTCAATGAAATGTTCTCAGGAATTCATGTCTTCCCCCAAAATAGCTTCCTGGTATTTCTAATCCTGGGCATTCATATTGACTGATATACCACATGAATAATGACTATAAGGTATGCCAAGGTCTTTAAGTACCTTCTCAATTATTGGACCTGCTTGGATAATCCTGTAGCAAAAATATTATCCAGACTTTCTCTGAACTTGACAAATAATAGTTAGCTATATAACAATTTTTCATGTTCAATGTTATCTTTGGGTCTATATCCCAGAAAAAAAATCATTTCTCTAAATTCTATCCATCTTAAACAATATTAATCTTTCTTGTCTGCCTCTACCCTTCCTATCTCTGAATACATGAAATATTCAGCTCTGGGACCACAGAATCACTTCTAGCATCTTAATGTTGGAAGGAATCTAGAGATCATCTAGGCCTCCTCCTTCCTTTCCCGAGTAACACTAAAACTCAGAGCTGACTCTGCCCACTGATACATAACAGACCTGGGATTCAAACCCAAAGCCTCTCTCTTCCAGTCTAGTGTCCTCTCTCTCAAATCAAAGTATAGCTGATACACAATGAATGTTACATTACTTTCAGCTTAGTCTAGCTCTCTTTCTGAGATACTCTTCAGACTCTTTTGAGCTAAACAAAATAGCACCAGTTGGATGCAAATGCTTCGTGTGTGACATCACAACCCATCAAAAATGGGTCAATAAAATACGTACTTTCTATTGCGCACTCCATTCCCTAGCGATGAGTTGTTCAATTTACAACATATGGGCAATTCTAGGTTCTGGTCTTAATTTCAGCCACATTTGCTATGTGATTTAGTTTCATCCTTTTTTCATTACCTCTTCTCCAATTTTTAAAAAGGATACTATCACTTGATATCTAGTGATACCCCTCCCAGACACCTTCAGGAATTATAGAGGCTGATGGAGGGAGAGATTATATAGCAGTTTTGAAACATACCAATGTACACACTGCCTTCCGGTGTACACAAATTTGTAAATCTGAAATGAGTAAAGAACATTAAACACAACTCGTCAATGAAGGCAAGTTAAAAAGTGAAGATTATAAAGTAAAGAAAAGATCAGAGATGAACAAACTAAAAATCATGGTAAGTTTTCAGGAAGAGGAGAATTATGAGCTAGGTCCAGGAGGAATTAATAGATGGACTCAGATGACAAAAAAGAGTGATTGCCAGCTCATCACTTACTCAATGATGGAGGCACAGAGATGATCAGAGTATGTTAAGATGCCACTATCTTTGGGCTATGTGGATAATTGTGATAAAAGAAAGGGTCCCCCGCTCATATCAAAGAGGCATTTCAATCACTTGTCCTTTGGAATTTATATCCAGAGAACCTGTTAGTTCATCTTCAGCAAATTAATAAATGGCTATTATGGGGCTGGACTATTAGTCTTAGAAATTCACTACCAGGACAGATATTTAGAAGGAAAAAACCCTTCCCTATGTGATTCTTTTGTGGTCAGAGCATTATTGAATACTTCCTTTGAAACTGCTGAGTCCTTTAAATCTTCCCGTTTTCCCACTAAAACTCTTCCAATTTCATTAATGAGCTGAATGTGCAGACTTGAAACTCAGTCACTTTGTTTCTGGGGAATACTGTGAGAAAGGAATTTAGATGTCTATATCATCTATCAATGTATCCATCAAACCACCTATCCACCCACCTATCCATCCATACAATAACAGCTGAAACTATAACAGAAATCTAGAATATGCCTATATCCATGCTATCTGTATTTTTTTAAATGACTAAGTGATAACATAATGAAGTTCTGTTTGGGAGAGCCCTTTTCTTCTCTCATTAATTGTGCTATAAATATCTTACATTTGGAAAATGAAAAACCAAGCAATCATGAACGACTATTTCACAATTTTGTCCCCCAAGTAAGTTCATTTAGATTTTTCTGGGAGATGAGAGGGTCACTGTTTCAACACACAAATTAATCTGTGACCTCAGAGTTGGGGGGTCTGCTGTTTCCATGCACTTATCATTGCATATCCAGAGATGTATGTTCAGTTTATATACAAAATTATAGCAGTAAACTCAATAAACAGAATTCTATATATTTATTATTGTGGAAGGAGAAAAATTAATATTACTATGAGCTAAATGCTATTTAGAAGAAAAAATAAAGACTCTCATTGAATAAGGGCGCCTGGGTGGCTCAGTTGGTTAAGCGACTGCCTTCGGCTCAGGTCATGATCCTGGAGTCCCTGGATCGAGTCCCGCATCGGGC